ACTTTGGCAACAAAATAAGAATTTTTTTTTTTTTTTTACAGTAAGGTTCACCCTGTACAAGGCTCAGGAGTCATTTAAGGTAGAGGGTTATGATAAGGAGTAGTTTATATGGATAGGAGTAGAAGATGGCAGTTGAACAGGTTAAGATTGTAATGATTGGGGAAATATCCTCTAGGAAGTCGGTTCGATAGGGCAGTAGTTCACAGGAAGCTCTTGTGTGGCACTTACTTCTCACTGATGGAATATGGAGGGAATGTGGGTGGTTTGCTACTATGGAAGTGGCATGGCAAGTTCTAGCTTTGAAGGTCAGACCTAGTGGAACCAGAAGATGCAGTTTGGCTAAGCACTATCAAAAAAGAATAAAAACAAATCTAGGCAAAATTTACACTATTTACATTTGGATTGTGCCCTCTCTATGGAGAACTTGGAGCCTTAAACCTAACCTGCCTGCTGATGAGTGCTTCTGATGCTTGTCTGCACTCAATGAAGCTGCTGCTCCTGCAACAACTCCACGAAGAATTGTCCTACAGGACAATAGCCTAGGAGATTAAAGCATTGGTTTGTGAATTTGGTGACAGAGTAATTGTGAGTTCTATCCTTGAGTAAAGCAGTGTGTACTTGGATTCAGTGGAAACTGTGAACAATAACTGAGCAGTACTAAAAATAAGAATTAGATGAGATATTCCAAGACATGAGCAGTGGAACAAGAAAATTCTGTGCCCCATAGATTAAATAAAGTGTTCATTTCAGAATTCTCTGTTGTTTACTCAGATTGACATAGACCATTGATAAAAGCCAGAGGTCACAACAGCCGAAATGTTGTGATAACAACAACAACAAAGATCAGGACAATAGTCTGAATGTAAATAGGGTAAATAATATTAACTTCTTGTTCCAGAAATTCAAACAGGAAATCTAGGCAATGTCTAATATAGAACCAGAAAAAAAAACATGTAAAAGAAGGTAATAATGCACCATGCACTCACTTGTTAATTTTTGTTTTAAAAGCTATTTTTAAAATTACAATAAAAACATAACTTATGAAACTGATTATTTTTATAAGTCTACCATTCATCCATGCATTAAATATTGCAGCCATTTCTGGTCTGCTGCTTCTGCTATGTATTTAGAGATTCTTGATGAAATACAAAGATGAATCTGCAATATTATTGGTCTTGACCTGGCATCTTGATTTCCCATCACAGTAATGTAGCTTCCTTGTACCTTTTCTATAAATATTTTCATGGTAATCATTCTGATCAGCTTTCTTCTTTGGTACCTAGACTTTATGAATTTAAGTGCAGTGCTAGATTGGCAGCTAGATCTCATCATTTTAAAGTTGAAATGGCTAGATGTTACCATAAGTTCCATGCTAACAGTTTCTTCTCACACACTTCTCATTTGTGGAATTCTCTTCATTCCAGCTTCTTCTTTTCCAGTCAACTTTGGTCATCAAAAAATTAAATGTTGTGTCAATTGTTATCTTCTGTCTTCTTAATTACTGTTCTTTTATTATTCTCTCTCCTTAATAGTATTTTCTTTTTCTCATATTCTTTCACACTCTGTATCCCCTTGTGATGTATATATATAGTTTGCAGAACAGGGACTAGAAAGAAACTAAAAAAGGACAACTTTACTAACAGCTACAAAGTACAGGATACTGTGGAGAGCCAAAGATAACTATTTCAGATTATGTCCGGTTCTAATTTTTCAAAGGATACTGTGGAGAGCCAAAGATAACTATTTCAGATTATGTCCTGTTCTAATTTTTCAAAGGATACTGTGGAGAGCCAAAGATAACTTCACAGATTATGTCCGGTTCTAATTTTTTTCAAAGGATACTGTGGAGAGCCAAAGATAACTATTTCAGATTATGTCCTGTTCTAATTTTCAAAGGATACTGTGGAGAGCCAAAGATAACTATTTCAGATTATGTCCTGTTCTAATTTTTTCAAAGGATACTGTGGAGAGCCAAAGATAACTATTTCAGATTATGTCCTGTTCTAATTTTTTTTTAAAGGATACTTGGAGAGCCAAAGATAACTATTTCAGATTATGTCCTGTTCTAATTTTTCAAAGGATACTGTGGAGAGCAAAAGATACCTATTTCAGATTATGTCCTTTTCTAATTTTTCAAAGGATACTGTGGAGAGCCAAAGATAACTATTTCAGATTATGTCCTGTTCTAATTTTTCAAAGGATACTGTGGAGAGCCAAAGATAACTATTTCAGATTATGTCCTGTTCTAATTTTTCAAAGGATACTGTGGAGAGCCAAAGATAACTATTTCAGATTATGTCCTGTTCTAATTTTTCAAAAGCTATACTGTGGAGAGCCAAAGATAACTATTTCAGATTATGTCCTGTTCTAATTTTTCAAAGGATACTGTGGAGAGCCAAAGATAACTATTTTGAGAGATTATGTCCTGTTCTAATTTTTCAAAGGATACTGTGGAGAGCCAAAGATAACTATTTTCAGATTATGTCCTGTTCTAATTTTTCAAAGGATACTGTGGAGGCCAAAGATAAAATTTCAGATTATGTCCTGTTCTAATTTTTTAAAGGATACTGTGGAGAGCCAAAGATAACTATTTCAGATTATGTCCTGTTCTAATTTTTTTCAAAGGATACTGTTGAGCCAAAGATAACTATTTTTCAGATTATGTCCTGTTCTAATTTTTCAAAGGATACTGTGGAGAGCCAAAGATAACTATTTCAGATTATGTCCTGTTCTAATTTTTCAAAGGATACTGTGGAAAGCCAAAGATAACTATTTCAGATTATGTCCTGTTCTAATTTTTCAAAGGATACTGTGGAGAGCCAAAGATACCTATTTCAGATTATGTCCTGTTCTAATTTTTCAAAGGATACTGTGGAGAGCCAAAGATACCTATTTCAGATTATGTCCTTTTCTAATTTTTCAAAGGATACTGTGGAGAGCCAAAGATAACTGTTTCAGATTATGTCCTGTTCTAATTTTTCAAAGGATACTGTGGAGAGCCAAAGATAACTATTTCAGATTATGTCCTGTTCTAATTTTTCAAAGGATACTGTGGAGAGCCAAAGATAACTATTTCAGATTATGTCCTGTTCTAATTTTTCAAAGGATACTGTGGAGAGCCAAAGATAACTATTTCAGATTATGTCCTGTCCACCTAATTTTTCAAAAGGATACTGTGGAGAGCCAAAGATAACTATTTCAGATTATGTCCTGTTCTAATTTTTTCAAAGGATACTGTGGAGAGCCAAAGATAACTATTTCAGATTATGTCCTGTTCTAATTTTTCAAAGGATACTGTGGAAGATTTTCAAATTAACCTGTTCTATTTTCAAGGATAAGGATGTCCTGTTCTAATTTTTCAAAGTTCTAATGTGGAGAGCCAAAGATAACTATTTCAGATTATGTCCTCTTCTAATTTTCAAAGGATACTGTGGAGAGCCAAAGATAACTTTTCAGATTTATGTCCTGTTTCTAATTTTTTCAAAGGATACTGTGGAGAGCCAAAGATAACTATTTCAGATTATGTCCTGTTCTAATTTTTCAAACGATACTGTGGAGAGCCAAAGATAACTATTTCAGATTATGTCCTGTTCTAATTTTTCAAACGATACTGTGGAGAGCCAAAATATAACTTTTCAGATTATGTCCTGTTCTAATTTTTCAAAGGATACTGTGGAGAGCCAAAGATAACTATTTCAGATTATGTCCTTTTCTAATTTTTCAAAGGATACTTTAGAGCCAAAGATAACTATTTCAGATTATGTCCTGTTCTAATTTTCAAAGGATACTTTGGAGAGCCAAAGATAACTATTTCAGATTATGTCCTGTTCTAATTTTCAAAGGATACTGTGGAGAGCCAAAGATAACTATTTCAGATTATGTCCTTTTCTAATTTTTCAAAGGATACTGTGGAGAGCCAAAGATAACTATTTCAGATTATGTCCTGTTCTAATTTTTCAAAAGATACTGTGGAGAGCCAAAATAACTATTTCAGATTATGTCCTGTTCTAATTTTTTCAAAAGGATACTTTTATCCCAGTGGAGAGCCAAATATAACTATTTTTTTTATGTCCTGTTCTAATTTTTCAAAGGATACTGTGGAGAGCCAAAGATAACTATTTCAGATTATGTCCTGTTCTAATTTTTTCAAAGGATACTGTGGAGAGCCAAAGATAACTATTTCAGATTATGTCCTGTTCTAATTTTTTCAAAGGATACTGTGGAGACCAAAGATAACTATTTCAGATTATTTCCTGTTCTAATTTTTTCAAAGGATACTGTGGAGAGCCAAAGATAACTATTTCAGATTATGTCCTGTTCTAATTTTTCAAAGGATACTGTGGAGAGCCAAAGATAACTATTTCAGATTATGTCCTGTTCTAATTTTTCAGGACCAAAGGATACTGTGGAGAGCCAAAAAGATAACTATTTCAGATTATGTCCTGTTCTAATTTTTTCAAAGGATACTGTGGAGAGCCAAAGATAACTATTTCAGATTATGTCCTGTTCTAATTTTTCAAAGGATACTGTGGAGAATAAAAGATAACCTATTTCAGATTATGTCCTGTTCTAATTTTTTCAAAGGATACTGTGGAGAGCCAAAGATAACTATTTCAGATTATGTCCTGTTCTAATTTTTTCAAAGGATACTGGAGAGCCAAAGATAACTATTTCAGATTATGTCCTGTTCTAATTTTTCAAAGGATACTGTGGAGAGCCAAAGATACCTATTTCAGATTATGTCCTTTTCTAATTTTTCAAAGGATACTGTGGAGAGCCAAAGATAACTATTTCAGATTATGTCCTGTTCTAATTTTTCAAAGGATACTGTGGAGAGCCAAAGATAACTATTTCAGATTATGTCCTGTTCTAATTTTTCAAAGGCTACTGTGGAGAGCCAAGATAACTATTTCAGATTATGTCCGGTTCTAATTTTTCAAGGCAGGTTTAGTTTGCTATTATTATACCTTCATTGAAAAATGAAAAATATTTTCAAAATCCTGAATTGAGCCACCTGTTCCCATACAATCATCAAAGTTAAGCAACATCAAGCCTGGTCAGTAACTAGATGGGTGACCACTTGGGAATACCAGGTATTGTAAGCTTGGATATGCAGGTGGTGTAATAGATAATGTTTAGAATTGTTAATCAGAAAGCAAAGTTCCAATTCCCATTGGATTTGTTATATTCACTTACATGCAAATACCCTTGGGAAAGGTATGAATCCATCTCTTCCCCCCCAAGTTATAGGTTAATGAGTCAGACTTGTATCACTAAATCACTGTCATCTCAAGAAAAAAATTCTTAAATTGAATATAACAAACAGCTGGAATTGGAACTCAGCTCTCTGATTAAAAATTCTGAGTCATTATCCATTACATCACCTGCACATCCAAACTTACAGTATGTGGTATTCCCAAGCAGTCACCCATCTAGGTATTGACCAGGCTTGATGTTGCTTAACTTCAGTGATCATATGGGAACCAGTGTTTAAACTTGATGTGACCATAAGCCTGATTGGATTTTGGCTTGTCCTATTTTCCATATGAAAAAAAAAAACTTTTTAAATCTAATTAACATCATGTAGTATTCGCAAGCAGTCACCCATCTAGGTATTGACCAGAATTGATGTTGCTTAACTTCAGTGATCATATGCGAAACGGTGTTTCTGTGTGATGTGGTCATAAGCCCATTAAGTATTGACGACACAGGATTTACTATACTGAGAAAATACACATTTATATTGCTGAGAAAATCATCCTTTTTTATACCTTTTCTTTTTGTTTTGCCTGGTCCTATGTTAAACTCTGCCCAAATCTGCTAAGAATAAAATATCGACAAAGAAATATCTATTGCTTTATGTCTTCAAAAAAGCAACAGATTTTTTATATGTATTATGACTTGTCATAATGTTACTGAGGAAATTTTTGTTTTTGTTAATGATCAATAGCAAGACATATCTATAGTATCGGATAAATATAATTAATGCTTGATTTAAATATAATGACATTGACTATTCTGGGTAGGATGGACAGTCATTATCTGACTACAGCAAGACAATCATTTTCATACCTTTACAGTGGTAGTTGGGAGCGTCTTCAGTTTTCCCCTTTGACTAAAGCTGATTGAGGAAAGGAGGAGAGAAAGGAAACATTTGCCTTGAAACAATCATTAACCCCATTTTCAGTTAAGTGTTTGATTTACAGTCAACAAAAAGAAAAATAATGTAAACCAGGATTCAAAGCAAGGCCACTGTTCTGATGTTGCTATATTGTAAAGTGGTTCGTTTAATTATTGGGTTGGCCAAAAAGTTCATTCTGTTTTTGTTAGGTGACATTAGGAGTGTTTAGCTTTAACTTATTCGATTTAAAAAGATTACTTATATTTGGATTCTAACAGCTGTTATATCAGAATCCTTTTGTTTTTTTTAAATTGAAATTGGTTTATTTTTGCTCCTTGATTTTAGTATTTTATAGTCTACACTTAATTAATAAGAAGAGTAATTTGTTTACCGATATTGGTTTGGAACAAAATTTGAACATGTGATTTCTTTAACTATTTGCACTATTCAGACTAATATCCTCATCTTTATTGTCATGTACATGATGTTTCAGCTGTTGTATGCTTCGGCCTTCTTCAGGTGACATATGTTAGAATTTTAAAGCAAACCCTTTATTTCATAGATTGTTCTAGTTCCACAAACCACGACTTTTCACAATATCTCAATTTCAGTTATCTTCCATTTAAAGCCAACTCTCAAAGGTTTTGTTCGCCTCTACTGTAGCCAGGTATTGAACTCACAAAGCCCAGTGGATAAAAGTGTTGGTTTAAGTAATCCAGTGACTTCACCCAAATTTTTCTGTTTCTTAATACTTTACTTAGCTTTTGGAAGCATCTGTCACTATCGCAACACACCTTTGGATTTCAGTGTCACACTTTCCACTTTCTGTTAAAACACTTTCTGGATATTTAAATTATTATATCTGTTTGATTTTGGTATCTCAAATTTGTAATTTGCATGTTGGGCTGTTCCTTTTACTAACAACCATACATTCTTTCTTCTTGCAATCGATGTTTTGTCCTTTCTTCTCACTTTCCTTCACTACCTTCTTGTGGAGTTCTTGTAGCTTCCTTTTTTTTCTGATGTCAACGAACACTCATTGTCACTTTCGTAATGCTCATTGTAGTAGACACTTTGTAATCACATATACAAATATAGTAACGGTGTTGAAAAGTAGTGGTGTCAGATACCTTCAAATAACACTCACACTAATAGTACTTGCTCGAAAAGTAACCACCAAATAGTAATCTGTATAGTGATCACTTCGACGCCATGCTAATTCTCATATATACATTTCCTTTACCATCATGTGATCTACTTATTCAAAATGGGATCACCTGTGTTTGATCTCTGGTGATCTGTGTTCAAACTCCAGTGTCCGCAGTGACACTTTATTCCTATATAACACCTTTCTATGTCTGCTATCAACATTGTGTCATTTGCATATCTTATGTTATTAAGATGGTAGCCACAAATAATGAATCCTGGTAGGACTTCTACTTCTCTCAGAATTTCCTCACTGTATAGGTTGAATTGGTCTGGTGTAAAGACACATCCTTGCCTTTCTATTTTTATATATTCACTGAACTCATTTTCTATCCATATGCAGAGGTTTGCTACCAGTATAGGTTCTGGATTATTCTAATATCCTTTCCAAATTTGTCGAGGCTACCTATCAATTCCAACAGTTCTCTGTGATCTACTTTATCAAATGCTTTTGTATAATTTGTAAAACGCAAGTACACTTCTTTCTGCATTTGTATTGATCTTTCTGCTATCATTCTGAGATGTTAACTGGTCCAAAAGGAAGCAACACAAAATAATGTTTCTTGAATTATATTGAAATAGCCTTATCGATATCTGACTACTAAAACCCAAATTTTAAACAAAATAAAAGTATTTTTAAAGAGCTTTAACAGCATTAGCTGCTTTCTTATTCATCTAAGATGGAACCTCAGACCACAGAGTCATCATACCATTGCTCTATCCCTAAGATATTCCTTTCCTTATTCAGTTGATTATTTAATTTTTCAAAGGACTCAACAGTAAGCAATAATTTTTGTTTTCAAGAGAAAGAAAAAATCATTTATTTCTCAAAGTAGACAATATTTGTAAATCTAATTTTATATATATATATATATATATACATCAGGTGTACTGAGGGTAACTTTAAAAAAGGTGGTACAATCATAATTGGAAAATTTTTAAAAAAGCGAAGCCTTACAACAGTCATAGTAACATCTGCAATGTTTGTCAACAAGAAAAATTAGCTATATTTCCTGACCAAAAAAAAACATTTAAATCGTAGATCGGAAATTATGACCCATGGTATACATGCTAAAAAGTTTCTTTTGAGTTCATATGAAGTGGGATGAAAAGAAAGTATGTATATTTCATTTAATCCCCCACCGATACATTTCCAATATACGTTGTGATAAATATGGCAACAAAGATGAAGATGATAGTCCGAATAATGTAAATAGTGTACATAATACCTCATCTCAGAAATATAGGCAGATATTAGTGGTCATAAATAAAATAAAAATAAATAAACCATAAGGAAATTAATTGACTGAAAGGTTGAACCCAAGGTAGTGGAATTGGCTGATCTCCTAATTTTCTTTTACTTGTGTGTGTGTATATATATATATATATATATATATATATATATATATATATATATATAAAAAATTTATGCAGCATTTTTTCATTGATGCATGTTTCATTAAATAATATAGACAAGTTTTGTCTTTATTTTATGTAAATTATTTTCATATCATCTGATAAGCTTAATAGCATTATCTTTAAAAGAAGAAAAAAATCACAATATTGATACATATTTTTAATCCTATCTAAGCTTTCAGCTTTGGGAGATTGTATCTCCAACGGATTAAATAATATTTGAGAGATTGTAATATAATAATAAGTATTGGATAATGTAATATTTATCTCCAACAGCTTAAATAATATTAAATATAATATTTATGTTGGTTATACCACAAACTCACTTTCACGATGCTTGACAGTACATTTGAATGATAACTCTAACATTTTTAGACATTTAAAACAACATGCCTGGCTGCATACACAATTCCGGAAAATCCTCATTTAAAACATAACTATACTTAAACATGAAAACAATAAACAAAAACTAAAAATTCTTGAAGCTATATACATAAAACAGTTGAAACCTAACCTGAACAAAATAAACTATGAAATCTCCACAAATATTCTTAAATGCCTATAATTGATAACAGAAGCCATTGGTTTATACCAATGGGTTCCCATACTTAATACTTCTTGTTTTAACTCTTGCATGGTCATGTGTGACGTCATGAGCTGCGATGCGATTTTCATTTCCAGCATCTCATATGCACAAATTTGTCATTGCTTGGAACTCTTCCATGTAAACAAAAACAATCATTATTGTTTTGTCCATGTATTGTTTAATATATTGTAATGTAATTGTCATCTTTGATAATGGCTTATGTAAGCTGAAAACTTAGATTTGATTAAAATATATATATATATATATATATATATATATATATATATATATATATATATATATATATTATTATATTAACAAAAAATTAGAGAAAATTAGATAGCTTAGAAGATTAGTGTTGGTTCATGAATTTCAGAGTATAATAATTGTGAGTTCAATCCTTGGTTTGGATGGAAACAGATTCAGACTTGGCGGAAACAGGACAAAAAGTAACTGAGCAGTACTAAAAATAATGATCCATGTTCTCGTTTTTTTTGGGTTTTTTTGCACATATTATGACTAATAGCTGCTGCAGTCGGGCAGGTCAATACTGGAACTGTGGTATTGCACTTAATTTGAAATTTGGGGTTTGACATGATAAATAACAACACAAAATATTTTTTTCTAACTTGTTATTTTTTTTGAGGAGACAAGTTTAAAGATTAAGCTTAGGTTCAAAATCATAGCATTGGAATTTCGTTTCAGTGATAGGACAGCCTTATATGATTTATAATTTTCTGAAGCTTTACAAATTTTATATGGACAAGATGCATTGCTGTTATGGAGTGATTTCACAGTGGAAGCTTGTATTTGTACGAAGTCTGTCCTAAAACAAGAACTTCATATAATAGGTATGACGCAGTAATCTAGTTGTGGTCGCTGATACTTTTAATATTCGACTAACGGTCGTCCGACATCAACTGACTTTGCGACTTCACGACTGACTTGTTACTCTTACTACTCCTACTTATAGGTGGGAGAGTCTATTAACTATAGAATAGGTGTGTTCCACTATAACAATTGCACAAACACATTACTAAATCATTGTGCCATCAAATAAGGCCTTCATAGGGAAATTATACTGAACAGTTTAACAGTGATGTAATATATTATACAGTACTGTAGTTTTAGTGTGACTTTCAATAAACAATGCAAATTTAAAACATTTTGTCTTATAATTT